TCAACAATTTGAAATGATACCACAACTGTCAGCTATACCAAAAGCAAATCATTTTAAAGATGCATATACAAGTCAGGGGAGGGCTTTTGTGATAAAAGCCATTCATAGTTCCTTTGTTCATTCAGAAATTTGTACAGAATTTACATTATAGAAAAGTGGTACTATGAGAACTTTCTGATGCTTGGTGAGTGTGTGAAGAGTGTGTTTTCTAGGTATTCACAGAGGGAAGCAGTGTTCTCAGCTGCTCTCAGCACTGAGCTCAGTGCTTTATACACTTTCTCCCAGTTCCTCACATAGTGTATCGTATATAGTTCACAGTACTATCTTCATTTTCCCCTTTTGAATGCCACAGCTCAGAAAAGCGAAGAATACTAGAAGGTCACACAAAGTAGAATTTGGAAGATCCAGAATCCAAACCAAACTCACTTTCTTTGTACTCACTGTGTTGTTTCCTAACAATTTACCTTCAGTGAAATTTCATAGTTTACAACTTTGCTAATATCATTACAGCTCTATGAATGAAGAAGTTGAGTTTTAGGAAAGTTAATATAGTGCAAATAGGCATCAACTCTGTGGGCCTCAGTAGAAGTTTGGGGACCCAAACTTACGATGCTCAGAATAGGAGGGTGAATCTAGACCAATCTTCTCCCAGATCTCTCTGTGTCATACATTAAGGCCTTAATAGCATCTTCACCAAGTGAATAATATGTTCTGCTTGGAGTTCAGTTTAAGAGAAGTCAGTTTCCTCATTGATCATTATCATTAAAATGTCATTGCATAGGTTGAGGCATATGTTCTGTATTCTCTTTTGCCCACTAATATTTTCAGGGCTTCTCAAAACTCTACGCTCAAGACCTATTAGCCCGGAACTGGAATTCAGTCCTCTTATGCTTATTCCTAAAAATCTTTGGCCCAATAAACAGTTTATTATTTGTGTTTACAAATAGGATGATGAGGCAGCCTTTTAAGGTTAAAAAACATTTTCCCAATGTCAGGCAGTACTCCAGGTATGTGGACATTGAAGGCCTTAGCACATCAGCTGCCATCACTGATGTAATTTTGTTCTATATCCTTTTAAAGCAAGGCATGGTGTTGGATGTTCCCTTCCACAGGAAGCCACAGCAGAATGAGGACTGGAGAGACTTAATGCTTTGCAGATTTACCCACATCAGTCTACTTGACAGAGATGTATGCTCAAAGGCACAGAAATTTATAACCCAAATCTTTCCTACTTGTAGTTCTGGCCTAAAAAAGAGACAATAAAAAGTACTGATCACATTTTCTGAGAAAACTCTTCTCACTTTCTATGACAGTGCTTTATTCTTACATCCTTGCATTCAGGAAAGCAATAGGGAAACAAAGATAAGTGAGATTTGGTGCCAATTCCCCAGAAGTCTGTATTCTAGAGAAAATAAGATCTGTATGAACCAATATGACAGTGCAATAAGCTGAAGTCTCCGCCTGAGACAGCTTGAAGGTTATGATGGGGAGTTGGAAAACTCAATAAAGTACGAGTCAATCTTACTGTTACCTCTGAGATAAAGGAGTCACATGCCTTTGATCTTAGACCTTCAGGTGCTACACAGATGAAAAGTGTTTACAGTCACAGTCATCATTATCTGTCTTAAACATTTATTGTCTCTGCTACAGGACTGGGACTACACTTGGGGTATTCAGGTTAGGCATAAAATTTAAAGGGGAACCAAAAATCTCAGTAGTTAAGGTGGTTACATTTTAATGCAATATTTTCAAAAATAAAATTAATGCAAAGAATCAATAATGAACAAAGTATCAAATTTTAAAGACAAGATCAGTCCGGTATTGGTATCTGATATTGGTACTGTGGTATTGTGTAGCGGTCAAAGGTTTTGTCAGTTTCTTTGTGTGGCATAGTACAATTGCCCTGATCTGAAAGGAATATAAAGCGAGCACATGTGTCCATTTTATTTTCACTCTTAACTGCAAACCAGAGATCTGACCTAAGCTCCAGTGAGGGGTAAGGTGGGAAGTTGCTATTTAATTTTCATTATGCAAGTATTGTCGTATGGGAACAATGAGGAAAACGCAATAGCCTGAGCCCTCATAGGGCACCTTAAGGAATAAATCCGGACTGTTCTAGATTCAAGGACTCTCTAGATATTTTGGCAACAAAATTTTGTAGAGCTTCACTCTGGTTCTCTATAATTAGTGGCACATCTTCAGTGACCCTCTTTGTGACCTCTTTTTCTTATGCTATCAGCTGATGATTTCTTTTTCTGACCCCTTATTCACATTATTCACATTCCCTAGGAGAGTCCAATTGACTTAGTCCTGGTTATTTAGTTTTTGTCATTTGAGCTCTACCATACTGATCATGGCTGCAGGATAAGATGCCTAATTCTGGTCAAATGGTCTGAGCTGCTCAGCCTGTGGAGAGGACTGAGCTGGGTTTGAGGCAAATGAGGCAAATGAGAAGGGGTATTAACAGGTAACGTAGTTTTTAGAATAGGGTACAGATGAAGCATAACTCTCTAATACACCAGAATGAAGGATTAGTGATTAAAAATGCAAGGAAGCAGAATAAATAGCAAGTGCTAATGGAGTTCAGAGTAAAGAGAGATCACCAAGGGACATGGTTGTGTTAATTCTATGCAACAAGAACCTGTAATTATAAACCCATAGATATGCAAATAAATGCTGATGGCTCAGCAGATAACACTATCAAGTCATTTATCTATGGCCCCTGATAAGTGGATGGCAAGATAAATAATCCATTTATAAATTCACTTAGCGATTTCACTAGTATCTCCATTTACCCCTCCCCTTTCTCTGGACAACCACAGAATGGAGAGAGCCAGCAGGCATCTTACTTGGACCTTCTGACTCTGAGTACTTCTAATGGAACAAATAGGCTCTTCCACTGTGGCTGGTTGATTCACACAAAGGAAAGTTATTTCCCTACTGCATTTTTTGCTGCCCTACTGAGAAATAATGTTGGTATCTATTCCTGCCACCCAGATCCCAGTGACAGTGATAAGCACTTCTTGTCTGTCTGCAGAGAGGTCACAGAGAATGTATGGCAAGGAAGAACTATGGTCTAACTGCCAATATTAGGCCTTCTGGAAGTCTGGAAAGAGCTAGAAGAATTTATTTCTCTCAGTAAAGAATAGTTAAAAAGAAAATTACCCATTCATTCAGAGAGATATGTATGAAGTCCCTACTCTGTGCCATTCCTACATTCCGACTTTCACTTGTGCAGTAACCACTCTGTGTTGTACTGTGTTCTACATGGTACGTACTATAAGACAGAATCTTAGGTCTGTAATGAAGCTATTAGATAGAAATCTTCAAACATGAAACCCATCTCACTGATATTTTTAGTTTTATTATTTGGTTGGAAGAGGACATGGTGACACGTGTCAAGTGTTAGGCTGTTTTGGTATTTTTTTCATCAATCCATCTCTAAAGGTATCAAGTATTCTCACAACCAAGAAAAGAACCTGGGTCTGATATGTCTACTCTTTAGCAAGTGACCATACAACATAGCAAGTAAATAGGGAACAGATGAATGAAAGGCTAAATGACAGATAAAAGTGAAGAACCTTCGATATTAGGAAGAGTGTCTCTACATTACTAAGACTTTGAATGAGTAATTAAGCATAGGCAAATAATCAATCCACAATGAAAGAATTCTAAAAGTGACTATAAGCAAAAAAATAAGAACCTCCTAAAATCTAAGGTATTGAAGTCTTCCTGAAACACCAAATCTACTAAATACATGAGTCATATAATAATATTACATCCATAAAATGCTTTCAAAAATGACACAAGTAAAAGTTACAAGAGCTCAGCACTGGGCAAAGTGCAGGCCCTTATATTTACTGTCTTGGATACTGTACTGTTCACAGAATACATTTTCCTTTAATTAAGTTGAAAACAATATACTTAGGAACTTTTTAAAGATAAGCCATAGCCAGCTTTGATTCTGAAGTTTTTTCTCTGAATATGGTGCTGCTGAGGTAAACAGACTAAGAAATCATTGGTAACTTCATTTTCTTGGTCTATAGAGTCAACCTCAGACTGAGAAAAATTGAATCAACACTTTGACGAAGAAAGCACTGAAATGACATCATCATCAAAATGTTTTATGACCTCATAGAAGTCATCAGTTCCTTTTTTCTAAAGTCCTATGCTAGCAGTTTAGATTAGCTACCATTTTATGTATTTTAATATAAAGATGCAGCAAATTCTCTAAGTACTTATAGGCTGTAAATTATATAGCACTATAATAGCATTCTTTATATTTCCCTGTATATAAAGAGGGTGCTAAATGAACTGCAGGTGTAATTAAATGTATTAGCACTTGTGATGGGCTCTAACTCTAGTTATTTCTTTGTATTTGCAGTATTAAATTTTATAGGCATGGATCTATTAATACTAGCTCCTGTCTATATAGCAAAAAAATGACACTAGGTTAAACTACATAGTTTATTTTCACCCACATAAAAGAAATGCGAAGTTAGATAATCCAGAAGCAGTATAGTGTCACACCATTAGCAATAGTAACAGAGGTTTTTCCTTTATGTTCCATTTTCTCTATTGTTTTTCTCCATCCTCAAGGTTGTCACATAGTCCAAGATGACCACAGAAGTACCAGCTAGCATGTGCGGGTTTTGGGTCTACAGAGGGAGAAAGTAGAAGAGAACATAATTGCAGGGGTCCCAGCTAAATCAACTTCCCTATAAGCAGCTATTCACAAGTCCCATAAAACCCTTCTGCTCTGATCACATTGGACTAAACATTCTCATTGGGTCACATTTACCCATAAGGAAGGCTAAGAAATGAAGTCTTTATTATTTGAAGAATAACTAGTAGAAAATTTGATTTCTATTAATAAGAGATGAGGAGTAAATGGCTTTGGTTTATATTTTTACTTTTACTATAGTGAAATGCTAACAGTTGCACAGTTGTTCCCTGTTGTGTGCTAACCAAGCATCTTTCTCTTCCTCTTGTGTCACCAGGCCTCCGGAACCTGTTTACAGCACTGTGAACAAACTGTGTGATAAGCCTGCTTCTCCCAGGCACTATTCCCCTGTTGAGTGTGACAAAAGCTTCCTTCTCTCAGCTCCCTACCCCCACTACCACCTAGGCCTGCTCCCTGACTCTGAGATGACCAGGTACTGCATGCGCTTTTTCACTTCATCTTCTCCAATTGCTTGTGCTTCTCCAAGGGTGATGGGTAGAATCTGCCTCTGCTCGCTTTTCTTGCACTCAACATCTTTCTCTGGGTGGAGAGATGTTTGGTTTTTGTGGGAGAAATTAAGAACATTGCCTTTTATTCCCCCTGGTGTGATCACAAGGCACTTCATATGTTCTTGATTCCTATACCTTTTAATAAGGTGCAATTACATTGCTCCAGAACAATTAATTTTGGAGTTTGTCACCATTTCCCTCATACAGAAGGATAAAGGAGAACATTTATTGAGTATTTTTAATAATATTTAATAAATGCTTCCTTTGCCCCAGGTATAACATGGCCTTTGAACTGAATGCTATCACCATTTATCTGTCTCCCTGAGCAACATATCCAAGCCTACAGAATTAGTTGGTTCTATCTAACCATAGTGCATCTAAACTTAATATTTATACTATGATACTCTGCTAGGTGTTTACATAGGTTGTTTTGTTTAATTAATCCCATCTATATAAAGCTATAGAAGCTCAGAGATCTTAAGGCATTGCTTATAGTAAGACCTCCCAGCAAATGTTGAGTCCAGATTTGACCTTAGAATATTACAAGATTTTCCACAAAATCATTGTAAATGAATCATTCTAAGTCTGAAAGCCAAACGTGATTCTGCATCAATAGCTTAAAGCACACATGTGATAAATAATAAAAGCTTTATCTTCATGTAGTTACCAAAGTCAGAGAGAGAAAGGAAAGCAAGAAAAATTGAATCTATTGTTCCATGCAGTAGTTCCAATTTAGTCTGAATTGAGAGATCCCCATTGTAACATTCCTAAACATACAGGGTTCTTAGGTAGTTACATTTTCAGACAGAATGTCTTCATAATATTGCTAGGCCTCAGAAAGTACTGACTTTAGAATATTCAAAGTACAGGCAGATATATCAAGAGAGTCTTCTTAGAACATCATCTTTATTTTTTTGTAATTTCAAAGAATTAGTTTAGAAGCCAATTACCGGTCTCCCAAGGGAAGTTAAATAACAAATTTTAGGTTATGAAAAAAAAACATAGTATGAAAAAATTTGTTTTGACCATTTAACTAGCTGGCACATTTTCACTTAGCTGCAACATGTAAAGCTTAATAGTATTTCAGAATGCTTTATAATTACTAATTAAATCCTACATTTGTAAGAATTCAAAAAAACTATTTCTTGATACAGTAAACTATATCACTTTGAAGCTTCTAGAGGGACAAGTCAGCATAGCCACAGCGAGGTAAGAAGAATACCTACATGAATGACTTTCATGCTTTTGTAGTCAGCTTGCAGAGGCAGCTAACACTTCCTGAGCTCTTCCTCTGTGCCAGGCACTTTGTTAACACACTTTATATGACTCATTTCTTCCAATCCTCACAGTCACATTATAAGGTAAATGTTAGCATGATCTTTGTTTCACAAATGAGAAAAATGAGACCTGAGAAGTTTGTCCAAGATCATCCACTAATAAGTAGCAGAACTGGAATTCAAACCCAGGTGACAAGTGACCTTAGCCCCTGCATTGGCACCTGCATGATAGCAGACATTTTGCTCATTGGAAAAATTCTCCATGTTTCTCTTTTTTTTTTTTTTTTTGTCATTTTTCTGTCTTTACCCTATTTCCCATTTCCATTTCTCTGGTCCAATGTCAACAAATTTTTTAACCCATACTCTTTTTTTTTTTTTTTTTTTGATGAACATGAAAGTGACATTGGTTTCTTTCTACCCCGCTGGGAATTTTGATGCATCTCTCCTTAAAAATTCACCAGATCTACCTCACACTGGGTGGACCTACCAAATTTGGTTCTTCTCAGTCTCCTTTCTGTAATCTGTATTATAAAAACCACAGGGTTTCCTCTTTTATGTTTCAAATTTTAAAAATTTACAGTATAATTTTAAATGTCTTTTTCAAATTACATACTCTCAACAATTCTGATATGCACCTGTTCCCAACCCACCATCTCAACAACCCACCATCCCAACAAATTTGGTGTTTCTATTTATTCTATCTCCTTTCCCCCTTCTTTATTTCCTTTTCCTTTGTTTTCTTTTTTACTTCTTTTATTCATATGTGCATACAATGTTTGGGTCATTTCTCCCCACTTCCCCCCACACCTTCCCTTTCCCCCACCCCCTCCATCTCCCCCCTCATTGTTTTCTTTATCTTATCTTTCTAGAAAAAAGTCACTCATACACACATACACACACACACACACACACACACACACACACACACATACACGCACATGCATTTCAGAGGCCTTGTCTCCAATACATTGATACCAGAAATCTTGATTTCACCCCACTTAACTCCTTCTCTATACTTCTCCATCTCAGTAAATGACACTTTTCTACCAAGCCAAAAACTTGAGAGTCATTCTTAATACCTTATACTTCTTACATCCATCATTCAGTCCATTTTCAAGTCCTGTTGATTCTACTTCCAAAATATAGCTTAAATCTGTTTGCTTCCCTCTACTTGTAGTTCTGCCACTTTTATCCAAGTCCTGTCACTCCTCAGCTACAATAGCCTCCTAACTGGTCTTACCACTTCCACTGTTAGCCTCTTGACATTCTGAATGCAGCCAAAGCAATCTGTTAAAAGTATGCTTTTGCATTAGGATAAAATGCAAAGTCATTAACGTAGCATCCAGACTCTGCATGATCTAGTACCTGCCTGCCTCTTGAACGTCTCATTTCACTCTTCTTTTTGCTGACTACACTAATCACATTGGCCTTCTTTTTATTCACCAAATGCACTAAATCTTTTCTTTCTCCAGTGCTTCACACATGCATTTTCTTCAACTGAAAAGCTCTTCTTATACTTTGCCTAATTAACTTCTGGTCATCTTAGATCCAAACTTAAATTGCACTTCTTCACAGAAGGTCTCTGAAACAGAAAACAAGGTCTCCTATTATATATTCTCTTTCTCTCTTTTCCTTAAGAGTCAGGCAATTTATAATTATACATTTATTTCTGTGGCTTTCAAACTAAATGCCTGCTTCACATTCTCCACTGTTGGCTCAATGAATGGGATTATCTCTACTTTGTGCACTGCTGTATTGCCAACATTCAACACAGAGTCTAGCATATCAGGAGCTCAAAGTTACTAGGTAAACATGAAAATAAGATCTGCAGACAAACAAACTGATACCCTTTTCCAGAACAGGTCATAACTCAAGTTATGCTTTACCTAGTTCTTAGCTAATACATAAAATTACTCCATGAATGAATAAATGTATGCATGGAAACAAAAAACAGAAGTCACTTTACATTACACTCTCTCCTAAATTATTTTGATGGTCAATATCCACATTAGAGATCCATTAGTAACTGTCAGATCTTTATGGAGACTGAGCAATTTGCCTCAGAAATCATTAACTTCCTCTCCAGTGGGAAATAACCTTTCTAAGCAGATGTTTCTTGAAATGCAGCCAATAACTCACAGGAAAAGTTCTAGAATTCTGGTTCCATTACTACACAATCACTTGTTTTTCCCACATATTCTTGAATAACTCTCAGAATCTCTCATAGATAAGAACTTAGAAAAGCAAGCCCTTATCTAACTCTAGCAATGCTGAGGACCCCAATCTAACTATCTCTGTGGATTATGTCTTATTACTACTCTGAGGAAAATGAAAAAAAAAAATTTAGAATCTTCTGCCCTAAAAAGATATTGTCATTCAACCACCAACTAATATAAAATCCTGTACTCAACTTTTAACAAAGTTGAAAGCTGAAAAAGCCAACCAAAAATGTTGAACTTTAAGCTGCAGAATGTGATGATGCATAATTTTCAGGGCACTTGAGAATTTCCCATAGTGCATTTCAGAAGTATGTACCCAGGGATACAGCAGTTACTACCATAGATTAGTGTTTGAGAGAGTTTGGGGAAAGTCATTGTATGCGACCACCCTTACATTAGTACCAGTTTAATTCTTAGTAAGCATTCAGAAAAATAACGGGAAGTCAGCAAAAGTAACAAGAGCCAGACTTCTGTATTCGCTGAGTTTCAGTGAGAATACCCAAGGCCTCAACTCTTTGAATTTATAACAAAAGCTCCCTAATAAATTAATTACATAGACAGTTTACTTCTATAAGGTTATCTAAAGGAAAATAGAGAAGTTATAAGATTTCCTTAGGAAAGCCCTTAAATTATGTAGCACACTGCCTAAGACTACAGATTATGTCTAGAGTAACTGACTTTTTAGACCATGCACAAATAAGAAATGGGCAGAGCCTGGAATTAAACTAAAATTTGAAGTTTTATAAAAAGTAATGGCATTGCTATAGGACTTCTGCTTATCTAGTACATTGCTTTTTTAAAAGTAGTTTTTGATGTTGTAATTAATTTTCTTGCTTTGAAAGAGCAAGTTATTCCAATTTTGACATTCCTAAAGCAAGGAGAGTAGCATTCTTGGCTGTTTTCTCAACATGTATGGCATATTTTCATGTGTTCTTTTACAGAAATTATCTGAAGTATTCTTATTTTGCAGTTGAAGAGATGCTGAGATAAATCAAGTGAATTGTGATTAAAATGTATTGGCAGATTTTAGATAAGAATGGATTCTGAGGCATTATATGAATGTAAGATATTTTCACTCATTGAAGAGATTATATCCATTGATGTTTTAGATACTAGTCATTATCCTGGATGCTTGGTATTCAAAGGTGAATAAAACAATCTCCTCCATTAAGGAGCTCACAGACATAAATGATGAATTATTCACTGTATAACACTATCTGCTAAAAGACGTGTTTGTTTAATATGCCTAATCTCAACTAAATTTTAAAACAAAAGGTTTAGACAGATTAAATTTAAGTTTATTTTGAGTGAAGAACAATTTATGAATCAGGCAGCACTCAGAATCAGAAGTTTAGAGAGATTTGCCTAAGATTGTGAGGAGTGGGCTCTAATAGGCTGAACACAGGAGCACAGTGGTAGAGAAATCAC